AACATTTCCTTTGACATGATTTGCTTTCATTCTCTGGGGGTATTTAATGGGGATCAGAGGGTCTGCTGTCACGATGCGGACGGGGGTTTGGACCAAAAGTGCAGAAATCCAGAACACACAGGCAGGAGTGGTTGAAAAAACATAAAATCCTTTATTTTAGAAAATAATCAAAATCCAAAGGAAGGGAGGCAAAACCTAACCACTAAACCAAGATGAAAAAAAAGCTCACTCACTGAGCAGGAAACCAGAGACTAGTACGGAGGGACAAAACAACGCTGACATAGACAATGGACCAACAAAACAGAGTGACAAGACAAGGTTTTTATAAACAAAGAGGAGCAATTAGGGAAACAGGTAGCAGGTGTGTGGAGTGCGGGCTGGAGGGAAAGCAGGTGACTACAATTATCTAAATGGGGAACAGAACCAGAGGAGGGCAGATAAACCTAAAACTATAAAACACAAAACTAAACCTAAAAACTGAGGGCCAAAAATAAACAACTAATAACTAGACGGATAAGGAGGACTAAATAAAGATTTGATTAGGAATGGGAAATGATTAGAAAGACACCTGAGGGAAGTCTACAGAGGGCTGGGGATAATAATGGGACACAAGAGGAAAACCTGGAGTGGGAACTGGAGGGGCTGGGGAACAAAGGAACACAGAACATGACAATCTGCAACCTTTGCCTCTTGTGTCCCCCGGCAACCGCTCTGCAGCTTTGACCAAAGATAACAGGAAAATGAATGGCATCCCTTCAAATTTAAATACGGATGAGCTGTATTTTTATCCAATTTTATGTTGCAGAAAGAGAATAATAATACAAGTGAAAATGCAAACAACTGAGTGTTTGATTGCAAGCCCGAGAGCTTTGGATTTAGTCATGGTAATCAGGCTGTTTCCTGTACCCTGTTCTCCGTTCTGTGGTCCTTAGACAGTTCTGAAACAGATTTCTGAGCAGAACTACGTATGTCATGGACTGGATTAGAGAAAGAAGACCCAGTTTTGTCATGTAAACTATAAATCATATTACTGCAGGGCTAAACCAGCTTGGATAGTGCGTCTGGAGAGTGTCCCAGAGCAAGCCCAAGGTCCATGACTTGTTCGTGCTGTAGTGGAGGATGCCTCTCCTGTTTTCCAGAAGGATGAATGCATTGACCTCCCAGATGACTGTTTGTTAAGAGAGCAGGTTGATAAATCTGGAGACATTGTGTGATCTGGAGTCTTTACTTGAACATGGGCTTAATAGCACTGTTGCCTCACAGAAAGAAGGTTGCAGGTTCGAAACCCGGCTGCGGTCTTTCTGCGTAGAATTGCATGTTCTCCCTATGCGTGGGTTTCTCCCACAGATCACAACATGCCTTATAGATTCACAATTAACGTCGCTTAGGATTAAAGCATTTACCAAATAAATAAACATTAACATAAAAATTTGCCACAGGAAGGCCAGGTTGAATTGCCCTCACTGATTGGATGATATATAATCCTGTTTGATGATGTTTGTAGTCAAACCTCTTGTTTAGAGCTCGACATTGATGTAGATGAACTTCTTTGTCAGCTGCTCGCATATCCATGGAAAAACATAAAACTATGAAGGATTAAATACCGTTTATGTTCAAGAATGGCATGCTAAGACATCCTGTTGTAGATGGGCACTCTAACACTGACCATAACCCCATCACCACCTTAGACTCTTGGGATTGTTCTAATCACAGATTGATGTTCCTGTTCCCGTTTCTGCAGCCCTCCTGCCTGGATATTTGCCACATCAGAGGTTCTACTAACTGTGTGGTCTGCTAAGGGCTCCTGCCATTGTTTGTAAATTGCATATTTTACTTTATTTATCTAACTTCCAATCAGACAGTAAAATCTCTTCTGTAACACACACACACACACACACACACACACACACACACACACACACACACACACACACGTTTTTTAAAGCTATTTAGCCTAGAGGCTGAAGGGAAATAATACAATAGTAAAATGCAAAAATATGGCAGAATTGTCTGGAAAACTATAAAAGAATACTTGCCTTTGATAAAACTATTAAATTTCAAGACGTTTATGCTCCTCATGCTAGTGGAAATGTATGTTGTATTTATAATTATCCATCCATCCATTTTCGGCCGCTTATCCGGGGTCGGGTTGCGGGGGCAGCAGCCTAAGCAGGGAGGCCCAGACTTCCCTCTCCCCAGCCACTTGGGCCAGCTCCTCCGGGGGAATCCTGAGGCGTTCCCTGGCCAGCCGAGAGACAAAGGCCTAGTCCACATGTAGCCGGGTTTTAAAAAAAAAAAAAGAATATCCGCCCCTCCAGAAACTTGCATCCACACCACCTTGTTTTAAAAAGAAACTCTGTCCACACGTACCCAGATAAATACGTTGTTAAGGACATGCCAGACCTGTAGGCGGCAGTACTTCCCCCGTTCTTAACCTCGTTCTTCGTCTGTGGTCTTCCGCAAGGAGCAGTAATTCTGCTTGCAAAAACAAACCAGCAAAAAGCGCTTGGACAATTGATAAAGCGAGCGCAGCTCTGAGGGCATCCATGCTGTCGGCTAGTGTAAACACAGGTCGCACACGTGATGTCAGCATTTTTTTGTCGTGGAAAGTGACGTTGCGGACCTTAAAACTCCGGTTTTGTCTGTCCACACGCAGACACCCAAAACGGTGAAAAAACAGATCTTCACTTTGGCCGGAGTTTTTAAAAAGATCCGTTTTCGTGTGAAAAAACTCCGTTTTCGTGTGGACGACAGGCCAAAACGTAGAAGAATATCTACGTTTTGGCAGATCCCCGGCTACGTGTGGACAGGGCCATAGTCTCTCCAACGTGTCCTGGATCTTCCTTTAGGTCTCCTCCCAGTTGGACGTGCCCAGAAAACCTCATCAGGGAGGCATCCAGGAGGCATCTGAGCCACCTCAATTGGCTCCTCTTTATGTGGAGGAGCAGCAGGTCTACTCTGAGTCCCTCCTGGATGACCGAGTTTCTCACTCTTTGTCCAAGGGAAAGCCCAGCCACCCTGTGGAGAAAACTCATTTCTTTATAATTATTTATGGAAAATTAACCCATTGAGTTCTGTCTTTGTATATTACAAAACAAAATGTATAAACTAGGATCTGTGTCTGTCCTTGGGTGTTTGATGTCTGTTTTGTGTATGATGGAGATCTAAATAAATAAATACATTTATGTCCTGTTTTCCTTGGAAGACATTCAGAAAATCACAATTAGATACAACAAACTGACATGATTATGTCATTTTTAAGCTCTAGAAAAAATTTAATTATTTGGGATAGATGACATGAATAGCTCTGAAGACAATGGCCAGAGCCTCTTGGTTTAGTGTTATTGGCCTCTGAAAGAAGATTGTAAATTAGAGGGTTGTTTCAGAGTTATTGCTTCATTTTTTTTATTTTGCTTCTGTACTTTGAAATATTATTGCATTTGATTAAGTCTAATATCTACCTCATTAAAATGTTGTTGGATAACTATTTTCACGAGTCAAATTGATTTAGATTTGTTCGTGATCTTTGGCATCACAACTCCTGAAATTAAGCTCATCACTTTAGCTACAGTGAGTGGGAGAAGTAGTAGCTGAATTTTCAGTTAAAGGGCTTTTATTTCTGCAATCTGGAGTTGTTTCTGTTTTTATCTTTAGGATTTGGCTTGTGTTGGAGCAGATCCTGAGCCTGGAGATCTCAGTTTGTCCCTGTCAGATATCCGCCAGTCAAGCCTTACTTCCCAACCTCTGACAGGCAAAACTAAAAACAGCTCATCGTGTGAAAAACATGTTCTGCAGAGGAAACCTGTGTCTTTGCTTTCACGTGAATGTGACTTTGACACTTGACACCCACCTTAACAATGTGACAGACCAATCACACCGCCACATGACAGTAACACTATCTTACTGCAGCAGCCAAACTCTCAGCTAGACCAAAATGAACCTCACAAATAAGCAAACGGAAAATAAAATAAATTAAGGCTGTCCCTGAGAATCTGTTGCTAACAACAGCACCGTTTTGAAGTTGTTGGTCACATTTCGAGTGCAACTCAAAGTCTCTTTAAAGTCATAAAATTTGTCAACTGTGACATTCTCACTGGAGCGGAGTGTGTTGGTGCTTGCAAGGACATTTTACTTGAGTGAATTGTTGTGATTAAAGATAAAAATATAGCCACAGAAAGCAAAAAATAACTCAAATGAAAATAAATGTATCATTCAATCCTTTATAAAAATAGAGGGTGTGAATCTCCTGCTAAAAAGACCAATTTCATATCTGTTTGGCAGATATAGATTATACATAGATTATATATATAGATATAGATAGATTAGTTTGTTTAGATGCTGCATGGTTAGTCTATATGACATGATACCAGGCGATCATAGCATAAGGTAGCTTTATTTGTCGTTGAACCAGCATCCCGGTACAACGAAAAGTAGTTTCAGTACAACCTTTCCAAGATCAGACATACTGCACATAAAACACACCGACAGGAAAACGGTTGACTGCGGGCATACAGCTATCAGGGCGCCCTCGTTTTGTAGAAAAAAACCCAAAACAGGTGACACGAGGGCACACACACACACCTGTGGTGATATATTAATGACAAAGCCCATGCTGACCTGATGTCGACGCCACAACCCCACCTCTCAGCAGGAAAGTGATATAAGGAGCAGGGGCGGATCTACAAGGGTGGCATAGGGTGGCAGTTGCCACCCTAAAAGAAAGCCTTGCTACCCCTGCTGCCACCCCAGCTGGCAACTGTAAATTCAATAAATTTTTGTGGCATTACAAACGTTAATGTTGCATGTCCAAAAACATTGAACACAGCACAAAGTCGCCCATGCAATGGATTAAAATGCAGCAAAAGTCACAGGTCCGATTACATTGAACGCAGCACACTCACTGACCATTGGCGCTCGAGTTCTGAACAGCAGCAGGCAGCCGCGGGAAGCGAGAGGAGATCGGGCCGACGCAGACGAGAAGGCAACCAAGGAGGTAAGAACTACATAACTACGCTATTTGACTTGGTGATAATAGCTGCTGTTGATTTTAAGACGATAAAATGCCAAAGCGCATTGTGTGTAGGTTAGTGACGCCAGGCGTACACGGTGCAGTGTGCCAACATGGCGCTCAAGCTTTGATTTGCTAGAAAGTTGTACAGTTTGAAATGGAGCTGAATGCTACGAGTGAAAAAGTCGCACAGTGTACGCCTGGCTTAAGCCAGATTCTTAGGCCTGTATATGGCAGAAAAGCAGATACCAATTAAATATTTGTCCAGAAAACATTGTAAATGACTTTCAATCTTTCAGAAATGAAGAGGAAAGGTAGTATCTCTAGCTTTTTCTCACCAAAGAGTAAGGTGAGACAAACAGAGACTAACCAGCTCTGTTGTGGAGGAGATGAGCTGGAAAGAGAGAGAGAAGAGCAACACAAATGTGACAAAGAGCAAGATCAGGGACAGGAGGAAATGATAGAAGGGCACAGCGGTGCAGTGATGGAGAAGGGAGAGGATCACCACCAGGATGAGGAGGGAGAAAGACGAGACGGTATGCAGGGCTCAGATAGTGGAAACACAGAGTCTGAAACATCACCAAACATCTCCAGTCGAGCTGGTCCACACGGTATGGATATATCACTGCATACAACATCTGAATCAAAATATTAAAGACAAAATAAATATTTTTCTAGGCAGTACATTTAAACTTATTTGCTTAGGGCACTTAAGATAAATGTTTTTATTCATCCTTATTGTGTTTGCTTTCTATGAAAAACATTTGTGTGTAAAAGGAAAAGAAAGTTACCCGAAAACATATATTTTATGCTGTGCTTGTTAACTCAGTCTGATTAATCTCGTAAAAACAATTTCTTTTCACCTCTTCTCTTTCAGACATATCCAAGTCCTGGTGTGAGGGACCGGCACAACCAAAGCTCCAGAGTTTTCCTAAGACATTTCAAGGAGGAGCCAGGAGAAGCTTTCACAGTGACTGGTACAAATCCCATCCATGGCTGGAGTACTCACAGTTGAACAATTCAGCGTACTGTTTTGCCTGTAGGCATTTTTCCCTCCCTGATGCTCCAAGGACTGTTTTCACCTCCCTTGAGGGTTATCAAAATTGGAAAAAGGCAAAAATGAAAGACAGCGGTTTCTGTTCTCATGCAAGATCAGAAAGCCATGAAAATGCAATGTTTGCATGGACAGAGAACAAAAAAACTATGGACAAAAATGCTTCATTATTTGCAATAATGGATGAGGAAAATAAGAAACAGTTGACTGAAAATCAGTATTACATTAAAACACTGGCTGAGATCCTTGTTCTAACTGCAACAGAAAATGTAGCCCAGTGGAGTCACAGGGAGACTTCAGATTCTGAGAAAAAAGGGATTTTTCTATCTATGTTAGATCTGCTAAGTAACCATAATCCTGTCATTAAAAAAAGACTTGAACAACAAGCGAAAAATGCTAAGTACACTAGTAAAACAATCCAAAATGAAATACTTGAATGCCTAGCTGGAATGGTTAAAAAGGAAATCATTCAAGAGGTTAAAAAGAGCAAGCAGTTTTCAGTGATTGTGGATGAAACTAGAGATGTTCAAAAAAAAGAACAAATTTCTTTTGTTCTGAGATACTATTACAGTGGTGTGGTTCATGAGAGTTTTCTTGAGTTTGAAGTGGCAGAACAGATGGATGCTGCTGCCTTAAGTGACAAGATCATAAACTTTCTTGAGAAGCATGGCCTAGAGTACAAGGACAACCTCGTAGGTCAAGGCTATGATGGTGCAGCAGTTATGCGTGGGGCACATGCAGGTGTCCAAGCTAAAATAAAAGAAGTGGCTAAACATGCCTTTTATGTTCACTGCAGCACACATTGCTTAAACTTGGTCATTGTAGATGCTGTAAAAAGTGTGGCAGATGCAGGAAACTTCTTCTCCTTGTTGGAACGAATGTACACATTCATATCTGGCTCTTATGTACATAACAGATGGCTGGAAGTGCAGCGGGAGATGTTTGATGGTGCACCATGAGAGCTTCAACAGCTAAGTGATACACGCTGGGCTTGTAGGCACATAGCATGTCGCAATGTTATGGACAGGTTGCCTGCAATTGTACAGGTGCTTGAAGAGATTGCATCTGAGAAACATCCACAAAGAGCTGTTGAAGCAAGAGGGATATTGGCTCAGATTGATCTAAATTTTGCCGGATGTCTTGTTCTCTTTCGAAAGGTTCTCAGTGACTCCAAATATTTATCAGACCTGCTCCAGTCTAAAACGGTGGATTATTCCAAGGTTGTTGAGCTTGTTGAATCACTAAAAGAGACACTGATCCAGTACCGTAGTCATGACTCTTTTGAGGAAATGTGGAGTGAAACACTTGAGTTATGCACACGAAGCAACATTGAGACAACTCAGCACAAACCAAAGAGGCCAAGAGTCACATCAAAGGTGCTTCAGGGCAGTGTCGTTGCCTCCACCTTAGGACAGCATGAAGTTCCAGATAACAAACACACTTTTTGCGTCTCTGTGTACTATCCAGTTCTGGATAACATGATTGGAGAAATAGGAAGAAGATTTTCTAACACAAACTGTAACATAATGCAAGGTGTGCAGTCACTAAATCCATCAAGTCAGACATTTTTGAGAGAGGAGACTGTTCTTTTGTTGGCTGAAGCTTATGATTCCAACACTGAGGATCTCAAACATGAGTTACATCAGATAAGAAGGGTGTTGCTGAGAAAAAAAGGGCAAAAAGAGAGTCCTACCACTCTGATGGAGATGACTCAGTTTTTAGACCCATATCAGGATGTTTTTCATGAATTGTACAGGTTGTGTAAAATAGCTGTTGATTTACCAGTAAGCAGTGCATCCTGTGAACGAAGTTTTTCAACTCTCAGGCTCATAAAGACCTATTTGCGGTCTGCTATGACAGAGAAAAGACTATCAAGCTTGGCTGTACTCAGCATTGAATCTAAACGGGCAAAATCTTTGGATCTTGATGAGTTTGTAAAGTGTTTTGCTGAGCAACATGGAAACCGCCGCATTCAGCTGTTGTAGGAAGGACATAATTTTATAATATGTTTTATTTTTGTGATGGGCCTTTAAGCTTATTAAATGAGCACCCAAAACAAATGAATATGTAAATTCTGGGAAAAGATAAAAGAAAACATGTTTCTGAGTGAACAGTAAAACCAAAGTACAATATCCCGTTGCAGTGAAATATTTCTTTACACACAGTGCAATTAGATTTACCTTGGTTCAGCTCACACACACACACACACACACACACACACACACACACACACACACACACACACACACACACACACATATATATATATATATATATATATATATATATATATATATATATATATATATATATATATATATATATATATACATATATATATATATATATACATATATAATCTCTGTGTGGGTATGTATTGCCACCCCAGAAAAATGTTTGCCCCTCTTCTGCCACCCCATAAATAATTTTCTAGATCCGCCCCTGATAAGGAGTAATCTTTTACATGTTTTTGTGCTGCCGTGTGGGTCTCCACTGGTTTTATAAACACTCCAAACATGAATTAAAACCATCCATCAGTTTCCTGCCAGTTTTTGGTTTTAGGAATTACTCGCCTAAAACAGACTTTTTCAAAACATCAAAAAACTTTTGCACAGAACCACCTTTACTGCTCCAGGTTAGAGAAGCAGTGGCTCTCGGAGCCTCTCCTGAATATATTCTCAGCTTTCACTTCATGTGGGAGGGATTTTGCACGAAGAACTACTTTGAAACGACCGTAGAACCATTGTGGCTTAAGTCATCTTATGTATTCTTTAGGAAGCGGTGTGGCTGTGTGCTGTAGGTTTATCATGGGTACTTGCTACAGACGTGCAGGATGAGGGCGCACGTGATGCTGAAAAATGTCTGTTCATCAACTTCTGAAGGAAGCAGCATCACAAGAAGAAGATTTTGCCTACATTTGTGGCTGGAAAAGCACTTAAAAATGATTAGCAAATTCATGCACGTAAAGTTTATATATTCCCGAACATTATTGGTTATACTCAAATTTCTGGTCAGGGACAAAACGCCAAGCAGCTTCTGTCACAAAAATATTTAAAAACTCTTCCAGTTTAGATTGGATTCAGGTTGCAGAATTTCTTGTAAACAAGTGATGTCTTCAGGGTTTGGTTTTAATCTAAACTGCATCAGTCTACAGTGCATACAGTTAGTGTGTGTGTTTTCAGAGCCTCCAGGTGAGAAGCCACTGCTCCCACAGATTGTGCAGGTTGTAGAGAGCGCAGTGAGGTCCTAATCCAGTGTGAAGGGGCTCTTAATTCTACACATGGAATTTTCCTGTAGGGATATCGGATGTCCTTAAGGGATTTATGCAACAGCCAAAAGGGATTACACGGTGCTCCATTCAGCTTTAGGAGCAAGAACAGTGATAACAAATGTGGGGATTGTTTGGTTGCTTAATGTGAACATCCATCAGGACCTTGATGTTTTCCCTCAGCTCAGTGGCAACAGTTTTGACTCTGCAACAGTTAGAAGACAATGCGGACGTTCCTTTTAGAAGATTCAGCTCAGGCCTGCATCATTTAAATTCATGAAAATATTCCAGCACCTGTGACCTGATCCGCGCAGGTGGTGGCAGGAGCTCAGAAGACGGTAATCCTTTTGCTCAAAAGTGCAGCTCTGCTTGTTCTTGACACTCACTTCCTAATGTGGCACTTTTTCCTCTGACTTTGGTGCCGTGAAGGACACGCTGAGTCACAATATATCACACGCATATGGCTGGTAAACAGATTTGCAAAGTAGGCAGGGGGCAGTGAAAATATCCAAGAACTTTGGGCTCTTATAACAAATTTGTTTGCTAGAGATCCGGCTTTCTGGTTTGTTTCTGCAACAGACAGAATTTACATTTGTAATCCAGGAGATCTATTGTGTTTCATGTACTAATTTCTTAAATCTGCCATCTGCTGCAGGACATATGAAGGTTTAAACACAAGACAAATTAGGAGAAGGATAAATTATTCACAGTGAATTTATTAAAAACATATTTCATTTCCTGCCTCGTAGACTGGAACATTTACTAATATTGGAGTTTCCGAACTATGGTTTATCTGGATTAGATTTAACACAAATTTTCTGTGTAGCTTTTCATATTATTATTCTCTAAAATTTTAAGTGCGTATTTTGAATTATAACCAAAGAAAACAGACCTTTGTTAATCTATAATCATGCAGCGGTTTGGCTGTGGGCATGAATGACCTCCTACACAGGCAGTGGTGCTAAATAGGTCTCACTACATTACTAAATTATTCAATCCTTAATTTGATTCGTTGGTTATGGGAATAAATAATGAAAAAAAGCAAGATCATCTAACTTGAATTTTTGTGCTAGCTTTTGCAATTTGATCCAAACTACTTCTTGAAGGCAACAAGACAAACAAAATACTTTAATGTCATTACTTGCAGTCAACTTTCTAGAATCATTTCATAGACTCATTAAATGTTCATAGTTAACATTTTCACAACATGCACGCACCACGAATCTACATCCCAGCAGTTTCTCTTCTGCAAGTGTTCAGTTTCTGTAGCTTCTGTGATATAAAGACCCAAAGGAACAATAAACTGGTGTTTTGTGGTCTGAGCTGTAAAGTGAAGAGTTGCACTTCTGCATTAAGTCAGTGTGACATTTTGTAAAATAAGCCTCCTGAGAGAGCTCTCGCTGAGCCGCACGCCTGTGGATTAAAGAAGTTTTAGACTAATACCCTGTCACATATTTCTCAACATCCCACCAAGTTCTTATAAACTCTTATATAAAACTCAACACTGACTTTTATAAAGGAACTTCATAACGTTCCTGTAGCGGCGCTTCCTTTGTAATATTTATTTATTTGACAGGATAATCTGTCTACAGACACATCAGCATATTCAACTAAACTAAAGATGGAGCAATAAACATACTGAATAAAAATATTAAAGGATAAATCAAATAAATTGTAAAAGAAATGAATTTGTGGCAACAATCGAATTTAAAGAGATTGTTAAAGATCTATTTTGTGTGTGGGTGGAGTATGTTTAAAGGCACAGTCTGATAGTTTTTGACTGGCACACTGCCACATCTAGTTTGAGATGTACGAGTGCATGTTGGTTGTGTCCAAAAACTGTTTTCCAGTTTTCCTCTCATGCCAGATTGGCTTGTATTTGATATAGCGCCTTCTAGAGACCAGGAACCTCCCAAGGCGCTTTACAACACATTCGCCCATTCACACACACATTCACACCCTGGGGATGATAAGCTACATTGTAGCCACAGCTGCCCTGGGACACACTGACAGAGGCGAGCCCGCCGTACACAGATTCTTTGATGTTGGGCGAATTTTGCATTGTGCATCATGTAGCGGGGGTAATGAGGCCCCGGCTGTACAGATTAGTGTTGTCAAAAAAATCGATACCTAGATATAAATCAATGCTAAAAGTGGTATCTAAATTAGATATTCCATCCTTGTGGTATCGATATTATGGACTATTATACACAGCCTTCTTCAAGTACACTGACACGCACGACAGCCAGATGCCGTAAAGCAGCCTCCGCCTCCCAGACAAACAGAAGAAGAAGACGCCGCATGGCTACATTGCAATTTCCCACGCGAGTTGTCTCCGATCCAAGTTTTGTCTGCCAAATAAATAAACAAAAACATAAACAGCGAATTTGGGAGGCGCTTCACAGCCCAACTTAATTAGCATACCAAGTCCGACACGTAGTTGTATATTCACGCTTATGTGCTTAAAGGAAAACTCCCGTTTATTGCAACCCGACTTAATTTCTAGCATGCAGTACGTTTGTTTACTCACGCTGACAACTTTGGTGCTACTTGGATTCCCCGGGGTATTTAGATCCATCGGCGAATCGCCATCAGTGTATATCCATATAACGGGTGCAGACGGGCACCCATGGTGCAGCCTCGAAATAAGACATTATCTGCACCAAAACATCTTCATGTCGAAAGGTTTTG